AGATCCTGGATGGCGCCTGCGACAGACGCGCGTGGCGGGTCGTAGACCGAGACAAAGCCCGTGAAGCACATATCAGCGGGAGGAGGCACGTCGCGGCCATTGAAATACGCGGGGGCAGCGCCGTACGCGATGGCAAGCACGCGTAATCCATGCGAGCTCATGGCCGACGCGTGTTGCAGCACTTTTTCCTTGATCTGAGGCGTGAATGGCATCTGTGCACCGCCCGCAATCATGTAACTCGTGCACTTGTCCAGCAAAATCTCCGTTGCGCCTTTGGTATATTGCAAAACTTGGCCCGTCGCGTCGCGGCACACCACCGTCATGTACTTTACGTCGGAATTGAACGGCTGCTCCGCAACACGCTCAAAGCTGCCGCGCTCGTCACGCAGACCACTGCGCAAAACCACATCCAGCAGCGCAATGTCCGTCGGTTGTCCAATAAACTTGCCATCCTCGGTGCGCTGCGCATTGTTGCAGAGATTGCCTGATAAAATAAAAAAATAAAAAGAGAGGAAAAAATGAGGAGACAAGGACAAGGAAAGCCATATGGCATACAATCCACTTACCGATGCGCAGAGTCTGGCGCAGGGCGTCGGAAAAATGCGTGGGGACGCTGTGTTCAAAGTGGAAAATGGCCTCGTTTTCGGCAGTGAACACATTGGTCACGGCCATCTGGTTCACTGTCAGCGTGCCAGTCTTGTCGGCACAAACAATGTTGACCGACCCCAATGTTTCGACCGACGGCAGCTGCTTGACAATGGACTTGCGATTGGCCATACGGATCACGCCCAGCGCGAGCGTCACCGTGACCACAATGGGGAGACCCTCGGGAATCGCCGCCACCGCCAGGCTCACTATATCACAAAAAAAAAAAAAAGGAACAAAAAAAAAAAAACGCGATTGAGCCATTTTTCACGCTTTTTTTCTCTTTTTTTTTTTTTGAATCTTACCACCAATGGTGAACATTTCAAGCCATGAACGGCGCTGGAGGAGGCCGATGAGAACAATGAGGCCAATGACAGCAAAAGAAAAGATGGACAATTGTTTGCCGAGCTCGTTCATGCTGAGCTGTAGCGGTGTTTTGCGCACCTCGACCTCTTGCATGAGCTCAAACACGTGGCCAAACTCTGTGGCCTTGCCTGTGGCCACGACGATGCCCGTGCCGTGGCCATTGCGCACGAGCGTGCCCATGTAGGCAATGTTGTCGCGCTCAGACAGGCCAAGCTCGCCGTGCGTCACAATCGCCTCCATGTTTTTGCGCCGCGGCTTGTTCTCGCCTGTCAAATTCGACTCGTCGATCTCCAGATCAACCGCCTAATTACAAAAAAAAGAGAGAGAGAGAGATGAGCCACGCGCTCCCAATGGAGCATCCATTTTTTTACCGTGACCAAGCGGCAATCGGCCGGAATACGATCGCCAATGCCAAATTGCACCAGATCGCCAGGCACCAATTCATTTGCCAGGAGTGTAGCCAGCTGGCCCTCGCGGATGAGGCGACAATAATGAGGCACCAGCTTGTTCAGCGCCTCCAGCGACTTTTCCGACTTGTATTCCTGCACAAAAGCGACTAGAACCACCCCAATGCCATTTTGTTTGTGAGCAATTCTCCCCTGGCAAATTCCCTGTCACCCTCCCACACCCATTCATACCCGTGACAACAATGATAATGGCCTAAAAGACGAAAAAAAAAGTAAAAAAAAAAAAAAAAAAGTCAGCGTTTTCAGGCAAACAGGGGGGAGTGTGGTGTCACCATGGTGATGCTTATGGCGTCGTCCATTTGGCCCATCATGAGCGAGACAACAGCAGAGGCAAGCAGCAGCAGAATGAGCGGGTTCTCGCTGAATGACTTTATGAATTTGGCGAACATAGACTCCTCTTCGGCCTTGTCCAGCTCGTTCCAGCCATAGATGCCGCGCAGCGACAAAATATCGGCATAGTGCAGGCCGCCTGTCGTCGATGTATTAAAGTCGCTCGCCACCTGCTGCACAGACTGCCGCGCCGCCTTGGCTGACGGCGTGATTTGCACGGAAGAGACGCTTGCCATGACGGTGCAACCAAAGGCAGGGTGATGAAGAACAGAAGAAAAGGAAAGAAAAAAAAAAAGGGCGAACAAGAGGGAAAAAAAGAAGCAAAAGAAAGAAAATGCAATCAGGCCGAGAACGTGGACGCAAATCATCATTTCGCCAGGCCCCGCACAAAAACACCGCCGATCCCTTTTTAAGTCTTTTTTCTTTTGTTTCCCAGTTTTTCCCCTTTTATTTTTATTTTTTTTTTTTTTTTACAACGATGCCTGGTCCCAAAGAGGTCGACTACAGCCTGTACCTGGTGACAGACAGCACTCTTGTGCCCCAGGGTGAGACGCTTCTTGCACAAGTTGAAAAGGCGCTGCAGGGTGGCGCCACTATTGTCCAGCTGCGCGAAAAGGACCTTGACACTGGCGACTTTATCAAAGGGGCCAAGCAAATCAAGCAATTGACCGACGCATACAATGTCCCGCTGCTCATCAATGATCGCGTTGATGTGGCTTTGGCCGTCGATGCTGACGGTGTGCACATTGGTCAAGATGACATGCCGCTTGCCACGGCGCGCAAGATGCTCGGCCACGACAAGATCATTGGCGTGTCTTGCAACAATGCCCAAGAGGCCAAAGAGGCCATTCAAGGTGGTGCTGATTATCTTGGCATTGGCGCCGTCTGGTTCACCTCCACAAAGAACCTTACCAAGCAACCCCTCGGCATCCAGGGCATCCAAGGTAACATCAATGTCCACGGCAAAAAAAAAAAAAAAAGAGAGAGAGAGACAGACAGAGAGAAGTGGAAAAAAGAAAAAAAAGAGCAGCACAGTCAGTCACGAGATCATCGCGCTCACGTCTTTTTGTTAGGCATTTTAAAGTCGATCGCGTCGCGACCAATCCCTGCGGTGGCCATTGGAGGCATCAATCTGACCAATGCGGAGCAATTGCTTGTTGAATCGCGTCACGAGGATGTGCATCTCGCGGGCTTGGCCATTGTGTCCGCCATCATCGCTGCCAACGATCCCAAAGCCGTTTGCGAGAGTTTCTCCGACATTTTGACGCGCAGCATACCCAGACAGGGGTCCCAGCGCCAATCCGCAGAGTACATCCTTGCCCACCTGCCGAGGGCTGTGTCCTTGCTCCGTTCCGCCACCCCCATGATCCACCACATCACAAGTAACTCCTTAAAAAATGCCTCCTGGATCATGTCTGTGCTCAACTCTCTCCCTTTTTTTTTGTCTCCTTCAATTAGACAATGTCGTCATCAATGACAATGCCAATGCGACGCTGGCCGTGGGTAAGCACACATACATTCACACATGTGCCCCTTTATATAGAGGTCTCATTTGAATTGTCTTTTTTTTCTAGGCGCGTCGCCCATCATGTCACAGAACCGCGACGAATTGGACGAGCTTGCGGCCGTGAACGGCGCCATGGTGCTGAACATGGGCACGCTCAACGATATTGAGATGATGATCATGGCTGCCAAGGCCAATCACCGCCACGGCAATCCCGTCGTCCTGGACCCTGTTGGCGGCGGCGCCACCACCTTCCGCAAACAAGTCGTCCAGCGCTTCCTGACCGAGGCCCCGCTCACCATCATCAAAGGCAATGGTGGCGAAATCCTCTCCATGGCCAACCGTGGCGGCCGCTCGCGCGGCGTGGATTCCCTCGGCAACGTCGACGAGACCACCGCAAAGGATGCCGTCCAATCGCTCGCCAAAAAGCACGGTAAGATGACAAAAGACGCGCTTGCAGTGTCCATGCGTTGCTCACCTTGTTTTTCTATTTTTGGCATAGGATGCATCGTGGCCATGACCGGCCCTATTGACTACATCTCGGACGGAACGCGTACTTTTGCCATTGAAAATGGCGTTCCCATGCTCGCCAACATCACCGGCAGCGGATGCATGGTCACGTCCATCGTCGCTTGCTTTGCTTCTGGTAAAAAAAAAAAAAAAAAAAAAAAAAAAAAAAAAAAAAGAGGCTATCAGGGGCAATGATTCACATATTTTCTCTCTTTTTTGTATACCAGTTGGCCGAAATGACTATCTTTGCGCGACCGTAATTGCGTAAGTAACCTTTGCCTTGGGAATGGAGCTAGATCTGACCATCCCTTCTTCCATTTTCATCTAGGATTTTGCTCGTGAACATTGCCGGTGAAATGGCGATGCAACGCGGCAATGTGCGCGGCCCAGGCACATTCCGCTCCGCCCTCATTGACGAGCTGTACATCCTTACGCAGGAACCGAAGCTGCTGGTTGAAAAGGCGCGCATCAAGTACCTTGATTAAAAAAAACACAATCCACTAGACACAATAAATGCACGATTTAAAATAAAAAATGGAATTTTCGCCACATTTTCTCGCAGAAGCGTGTGCCCCTGATGCACCACGGCTGCGCCGATGTAAATTCTTGTTTCTTTTTCGTGAAATGGTCACTTTTGCACAGTATGACATGCTGTACCTACTGTACGTACGCACCAACACGCGATGCGGGCTTTAAAACAACACGCGATTTTCGGGTTTGCACACTTTGCTTGTAAATACAGTAATGCGAGCTAAATTTCTTACATGATCACTCGCTTTAAACCCCGCTCGTATTCAAACTCCGACTTCCTCTTCTTTTGAACGTCCGCACCAAACACCAAGCAGTATTTACAGTAAGAAAAACAGGAAGATTTGTCAAAAATGGTAAAAAAATGCCATTTTTGAATTATTGAATGGTCGTGGTTTCATCAAATGGCACAGCAAGCGTTACTCGTCGAGCTTCCATATGGTTAGCAAATCATAATTTGTTTGAGGCATTCAATCCTTGTGAATTTGCCTTCAAAATCGCAAAAAGTGCAAAAAAAAAAGCTTAATGTCACAAGAGGGACTCGAACCACAGGCCCGCAGCCAAAAATTAACCAACCATGCATTCAAAATTTTCGCCTACGACACATTTCATGCGCAACTTTTTGCAAAAAAAAAATTGCAAAAAAAAGATAGCTTGGCGTGGTTTCGATCCACGGACCTATGGGTTATGAGCCCATCGCTCTGCCTCTGAGCTACCAAGCTCTTTTTGAAAAGTCGGAAGACCAGATCACCATTACCTAATCGATCATATCGAATTTCATACCGATAAGCATCAGAATCGCGAGCCGAACATGAAAATCGGACTTGAAAGTGGCGCAGAGCAATTTTAAAGCCAGATTCGGATCTCAGCGCTCCTTAAAACGCGTTTCTACTAGCATGACGGGTATCATTCGAAAGCGACGGAGTTGCAAATTCACATGTTATATTCGTTTCTCCGATTTAAACTCCGGTTTTTTCGATTTTGCAAAGAGAAACAATTAAAGTTGTACAATTTACTGACAGTAGATTTCACTGCGAAGTTGTTGGTAATAAAAAGACAAAACGAGTGCTGCTGCACGGTGTCATAGTAGCTACCGATAGTAGGCAAGCGACGACGAACTCTGATCTCCGTACTACTGTATGTTCGTGCGTGTGTCAGGCGCACGCGTTTGCTGGACCTCGGGCGTCACGACCGGGGACAATGCAGGCGCGGAGGCTGGCGTGGAGACATCGACTTCAATGCCCAGTTCGAGCAATTCCTCGTCAAGCGAGGAAATGCTCTCACGGCGCTGTCGATGTCTCGGCGAGGGGCTGTGGTGCATGATTTCGGACAATATGTTTTATTGGCAAGAAAGGGACAGGGGACGGTGCGGCGAACAGGGAAATGATCAGGTAAAGAAAAAAGGAAAAAAAGGGGCGGGAAAGGGGAAGCGGCTGCTTAAATGGGCAGCCGATGATGGGGATTGCCCAGTCGGGCTTCCAAAAGTGTCAGCGGCGGAAGCTGGGTGGGCAATTCCCAAAAAAAAAGAAAAGAGGGCGCGGCCAAAGGAGTGGGGCACGCGCGAGACAACAAGACAAGGAAAGGCATTCATGGGCGGCAAGCCAGAAAGGGGCAGAAAGACAAGGCAAGGCGGATGGTCATGGTGGAGTGAGGAGCGAGTGGGATGAGGAAGCGAGCGATGTACGCAAAAGAAAAAAAAAGGAAAAAGGGTCAAAAGGCGTGGCACATATCGGGAACGCGAGGCGGATCCTGACAGCGTGTTTGGAGAAAAATCGAACTGTCGACATGAGCCGAGAAAATGCCAAATTTGGCCTACCGTATTTTGCATTTACCGTATCTGGTCATCTGCATGGTTGACCTCGCTTAAAAATATGATACTGTACCTGCATCGACTTCAACGCAAAATTTGCAACAAAAAAGCTTAAACCCCCAAAGCGCTGTGAGTCTGTGACCACTTTTGAAAAAAGAAGAGGGGCCGCACATCTCAACTTCAGAAAATGCCAAATTTGGGAAATTTCGAACTCCGGGCGATCAATGCATCCCAAACAAGTAACTCCGACAATTTTCTATTGACAGACCAAACGGCAGATCGCCCCAACTTGAGAAAAATGCCTAAAGAGTGACGCATGAACGCCGATCGACTGAGAAAATTGCTTACTTTGGTGCGAATTTTTTGCAAAAAATTAAGGTTTTTGAGACTTCCAAATTAAGTTGCGTGGATTGCATGGATTTTTTATTTTTTATTTTTCCTGTTGCACATTTGTGTGCGGTGGGTGGGCTGCAGCCTGCACAAAAAATGACCGATGCAAAATGTTCAAACCCAAGCTAGTGCATTGAAAATTATCCCAATAGATGCTTTGCCCCCTGTTTGTTAGTAAATCTTGAATAAAAAATTGAGGTTGATTAGGTCGTTCTTGAGCAAATGGCGATTGCAGAAATTGCTCCAAAAAGCTATTTTCTCTGTCAGTTTTGATTGGATCGTGCTGAATCTGGTCTTATTTGATAGAGATTCAACTGCTACTTAGACATTGATATTAAATATCCTGGTAAGTCCTCCTTTTCGCTGTCGAGAAAATGGGATTCAAAAATAAATCAAAAGTTTGATCCGATTTTTCAAGCATGCAAAGTTTGTTCATCGCGCGAGAAAACAATTTGGAAATGACAATCGAGGGTGTCTCTTTCGAATGGTATTAGTTTCACCGCGATCTACAGAATATTTCGGGAGTTAGTGCTGGATATGTGGAAATTACGACATTTTGGAATCATCTGCACAACGACCCAGCGGACCTCTGGTTTTCAATGTTGTGTTGAAAAAGACGCGCCAGAAAGCAAAGGTTTGGAAGAGGCAAACCAGTCACGATATGAATTTTTAAGATGGGATTTGTGTAATCCCATGAAAATCGCGAAAAACTTGAATTTACTGGCAGCGGCCTATTGTAGTCGAACACTGTTTTTTATGATTCTTTGAAAATGTGAGGGCCAAAATTGCTTAATGGTGAAATTTGGCATCGACCCAAACATGATGTGCGGTGATTAGCATTGAACTGGTGAAATTTCGTGAAATCAGTATTCATTTCGACAAAGGCATGACCGACTTCCGGTTTGCAATTTTTTCCTGAAAAAAGAGGCGCGATTCGTCCATGTGGTAAAATTTCGTGGTGAATGAAGCACAACTTCACCGCGAAATGATTTCTTAAAAACGTGCTATAGCCAAATTTTCAGCGATGTCAATTTTTTCGCCGAACCAGCCAACTAATATCGGAGTTTTAATTTTTCTGAAAAGAGAGGAGCCAAATCCTATACGTAGCAAAGTTTCGTGGATCTGCGATGGGTCCTTGGTGACGAACGATTTTTTTCAACCTTTTGAAAAAAAAGATGGTCAGGTCGAAATGCATCTGGAGGGTCCCCCGCTTTGAGAGGTTCAAGTTCAGCCAGAAAAAGAAAATCCGTTTGGCAACCTACACATCAGCGCTTTGAGAGTCATGTCATTTGATACGTTGACCCCCTCTTCCTAAGCAAATCTGCAATAAAATATCATACGGGGGTTGGCTTGACGGATCGCGAGAAAAAGGTGAAAAAAGGCAAATTTTAGAAACATGATTTTATCGACCAGTTTTGGTCGCACGCCAGTGAAACAAGTCTCATTTGACGGAGAGTTAATTTCTGCATTTTTTGTCACTGCAAGCCGGCCGCGGATTACCTTGTTCCTTCCCAAGAAAATTGGAGTTGAAAATTTAAATCTGACGTCGCAGGTGTACAAATGTTGCGCATCGGCTTTGCCAGGCTGGAACAAAATGTTCGCCGCGCGCGTCTTATTCTACTTGTACGTTTTCAGCATGATCAACTCATGTTTTAATGCGTCAGGTTCGAAATGGTGAATTTCTGGAGAAATATCGATTTTCTCGTCAACGGCCAGATTAACACCCAGTTTTTACTTTGTTTTCGAGAAGCAAATAGCCAAAATGCACAAATGACAAAAAGTTTCAAGGTCGGGCGGGCACGTGATAACGAGCAGTATTGATTTTCATAAATAGGGATTTTCTAGCGATTTTTCAAGGGGGCAGTCGGCATGATGACCGAGCAGTAAAATTCCAGCCTGCAGAAATGACCGATGCAAAAAGTTCAAACCCAAGATAGCGCACTGCAAGTCATTTCCTTGGATGCATTGCACCACTACTGTATTTGTTAGTAAAACTGCGGTAAAGTTCGGGGGTCAACTAGGCCGTTCTCGAGCAAATCGCGATCAAAGATTTTGATGGAAAAGTGGATTTTCTCTGCAAGTTTTTGCCATCCATCTGTGCAACTGGTCTCATACGATAGGGAATACAACTGCTGAATTCAACACCTTAAAAGCATCATGGAACATCATTTCCATTGTCGAGAAAATTTAATGTAGGTGGATGAAAATGCTTGAAATGCTTAAACGGCTTTCACAAGCGTACAAAGTCACGCATCGGGCAAACTAGCATTCTGGAAATGACGTCCAAGCCCGTCTAACTTGAACAAGGCAGGTTTCATTGCGATCGAAGAAGAATTTAATCATGACAGTGTTATAATTGTGCAAATGCCGATATTTTGGATTCATCTGCACAAAGATTCAACTCACCTTGGTTTCAATGCCATGTTGAAAAAAGACGCGACAACATGACCTACTGCTAAAGTTTTGGAGGCGATCCAACCACGGTTTGCTGTGTTTAATATTGGATATGTGAAAATTCGTGAAAATGGTGCCCATCTTGACAACAAGCTGATCGCCCTCTGGTTTTTTTTTTAATTTTTTTATAAAAAGAGAAGCGATGAAATAGCCATGATAAATTTTGGCGGTGACTCAAGCATAAATACTATCCTCCATGTGACAAAGTTTCGTGGTGTTGCGATGAGTCCCAAGTGCTGAAATATGAATTCGTTGGTTTTGGCTTTTTCCAGGGGCGTCGCTCGCCACGTGTCTCAGGAGCGCAAAAAAAAAAAAAAAAAAAAAAAAAAAAGTAGAGCGGAGCGCTCTTTGCTTCCTTGTCCAATTCTTTCTTTCTCTCTTTTTTTCTGTTGTTTTCAGGTGCTGGGCATGGCATGGACTCTCTTGCGCTCCCTCATCACAATTTAGGCCTTGAGCTACGGTCTGATCCGGTCAAGGGCCGCGGTGTGTTTGCAACAAGAGCCATTGCGCAGCGGACGCTGGTGGACATTTCGCCGATTTTGCTGTTTCCTCACGACGAGTACGATCAGCATGGCAAGCACACGCAGCTGGACCACTACACGTACGTGTGGAAGGACGGGTACGCGCTTGCGCTCGGGCTCGGGTCCATGTTCAATCATGACAGCGAGCCCAATGTCGGGTTCATGCGCGATTTTGACAACCAGGTGATCCGGTATGTGACATTGCGCGCCATTGCGCCCGACGAGGAACTCTGCATCTCGTACGGCGCGCATCTCTGGTTCGACGATGCATCTGCCAAACCAACAGATACCACGGCCGGCTCGGATAGTGACGACGACGACGGTGCTTGGCTCAATCGCATTGGTGCAGACGATGAATGAATAAAATGTTGCCTTTTTTTTTTTTTTTTTTTTTTTTTTTTGCATGATCGAGCGAGGGGTCACCTGGTTTGGGGGGTGTGGCTCCGTCCATTTTGAGGCCAATTGTTCCGGGCGGGCGGCCATCCCCTTTTTTTTCACTTTCTTCCCTGTCTTTTTTTTTTTTCTTTTTCCATTTTCATTGACCATT